TGAATACTGTAGAAAGTATGTATATATTATTATTTTATGGCGATAGTAATATTAAAATGAGTTATAATTATTTCTTGAATAGAATAATTATGAAAAAAAAATAAAAATAAATGTATACTTAAGAATATTGTTACCACATCATTACTATAATGGTTAATGCATAGTATAACTAAAAAAGTAGAAATATTAAGAAAAGAGATTATCCCTTTTTTTCCCATCATGAAAAATCTCTTTATTGTTATTATTTATTTATTAATAAAAATGTTAATTATATATTATTTGAGTAAATTTAATTAGATTAAATATATTATAATATAAATATAACTTATATTAAAAGTAATTAAGAAAAATATACTATATCCAAATTATGGATAAATGTAAAATACAATTATGTATATAACCTATTAAGGATGTTCTATTATTATTTTGTCAAGAAATTCAATTAGAATCTATATCAGTTATTATAAAAAATATGTAAAATAATCATACATAATTATCAAGTTTTTTTTTGTTATTATTTTGATTATACGAGCTATTCTATTAATGATGATATGCAATATATATTAAAGATATGTAAAGTATTCATTTTTATTTTTATAGAGGATAACTATACAATTTTATACATTCATAAAAATGAATCCCAAATGATGTAACTTATATTGGGGAACAAATAATAATTATTTAAAAATAAATATATAATTATAATATATATAGTTTACATTATATATATAATCTATGCAAAAGGATTCATTCAATATGCTTAATATTTATTGTTTATTTTTATTCGACACACTGGAGAAAATTATATCATAACAAATACATAAAATATTCAAATACAAATAGAATTTATTCATGTATAAAGATAATACCATATGTACAATGAGAAATTCAAAAATAATTTATTTTTTTTATTTGGAAATGTATATTACTACTATTTGTCAAACTATTACAAATAGATAAACAGAATATTTTATATCTATCTTTCATAAAATTAAATCAATAAGTTAATATTTAAAATAAAAGGAACATATAAATAAATTCATTATTCTACTTTCTATTTATATTTAACACAACCAATGCTTTATAGAGTGTTAAATAATTACAGATGATAATAAGTACACCTATTTATAATATATAAAATCTAATAACTATTATATGACGTATATTGTAATTTTCCATTTATAGAAAGTGTGCATTTTACAATCATTAAAAAGTATGTATTGAATTTTATCATAAAATGAATTATTCAAAAAAAAAAATATTTATTAAGATAAATATGCAGTAAAAAGAAGAAAACGAAATAACAATGTATTTCAATAATTTTAATATAAAAGAAAATCATTTACATAATATTTTTTTTTTTCTGTTCTAGTATAAATAATATTTATAAAAAATTTTCTATATCCTCCTAAACATTTCCAAGCGAGTAAAAAATTATATCACATATTTAAAAATATTAATATTTAAATGAAAAAAAATATAAAATAATATGAAAACAATTATAATTAAAATGATAATTACTAAAGAAAAATATATATGTATATTACCAATTTATGTAAATTGATTATTTATATAATAACTAAAATATTTTTTAAAATATCTCCTGAAATATTTTGAATATTTTATGTTTATTTCATATTATTTCTAATCAAATGGTTACATTTTTTATTAAATTACCAACAGTTTCATAATATATGTAATTTTTTTATAAAATAAATTAGCAAAATTAACAGAAATATTATATTAATAATTGTATTATCTTGTATATTAATACAATTTCGGGTTGTTTGCTTACCATTCTTTTATTTTATAATCCCTTTTTAAATTTGTATTCAAAATACGTATACATCATTTTTCTATTTATACATTATATCATATGATATATTAATATTCAAGTGGAGGATGACTTTTAAAAGTATTATATTTTTTCATTTTTATTATAGACATATATAATTAATATAATGTGTTCTTGAATGTAATTATCATTATTATTTTCTTAAATCATGCTTTTTATATGAATCTATCACAAACAATTAATGTTTTTGCTACAAATATTTCAATTATTAGAGTAATACTAATTAAATTAATACGCTTATATCAATATTTGTGTATATGTAAACTACCTTTTATTTAGGAATTTATATGAAATAATCTATATATTCCTGTGAAATTAAAATTGAATAAATTTTCATATAATATTGTGAAGGCATGTAAATTTTAAATATATATATTATAAATTCATTCTTCCATTTTTTGTATCTCTCACTAGTATTTTTTCAATTAATGTCTACATTTAATGATTTTATTTGAGAATTACTAAATTTCATAATTATTAATACTAACCCAGATTAACATATATTTATATCAATTTACGCGTGATATATCAAGAGTGATTATGTATGAAAAATTATGTCGTAATGTAATTCTATATTATTCTGCTTAAATGTCGAAAAGGTGTCTATCTAAATAATATATTTTAATAGTTTTTTAATAGAAAAAAATAATCTTAATTTGAATTTATTGGTGACCTCGAATAAAAATATATATATATATATATATTGACGCTACATTGTTTTATAATCACACATATAGAATTATGAGAAAAATAAAAAACAAAAGAAGGATACAATATTTATTAAAAATTCTAATTCAGTTGTTCTTAAAAACATATATTATCTCTATTAAATTTATGTTTATATATATTTGAAATGAGACTTCACGAAACATCGTTTTTACTCTTTCATTATTAAATATGTGTGTACTAAAGCAGAATTATTCATACCTCAGAGTATAATGAGATTACATAAAATTAAAACACTATACCAATGTACCTTTTCATAAAGTATTATACGTATCATTCAATAAATATTCTAAAATTAAAAAAAATTCCATCAATGAACCAATTTTACTAAGGTGTTATCTATGAAAACAAATATTAGTTTTTATAATTAATTTTTATTGTATGTAATACATTCATTAATTTATAATAAAAAAACTAATATTACATACATTTGTAAATATAAATAACAATATTAATTATTTTAATTTATTAAAAGTCATTTTTATAAATATGACATTACACAATTGTACCCATTTGGAAATTCACATATATAAAAAATTTTGAACATAATAAATTATGCCAAAATATAATTATTCACAAATGTACAACAAATAATATATAAAAAATAAAATATTTCAATAAACAAATATTTTGCATTATGATTTGGTAAAAAAAGGGGTGATCACCTACATTAAATTCTTGACAAATATTGCTACAAAGGCTTCTATATAATTACATTATAGTATTTATATCAGGAACTAGTCATGTAATAAAAATTAATCCGTGAAATATAAGATGAGAAAAATAAAATAACGAAAATATGAATTCATGAACATATTTGTATTAATTACACTTATATTATTATACGTTTGACTTGCAGGCTAGTGTACTATAAACCAAAAAAATCAAATAATTTTCTTAAAATAACAAATGATTTTAATATAGAATTATTCATAGAACAACATATGGAAATAATACAAAAGAAGCGTTTTCATATAAGTGTTTGTTAGTTTTGTTGTTGTACAAAGTGTTTTACACATATTTCATGTATACACTTTTTTTCACTAAGATTACTCCCAATTTTGTTATACTATTTTATCAATTTTAATGTGTTACTTTTTTATATTTTATGGTACTACTTTTAGGGAGTCCATATTTTAAATATATTTTATTATAATATATCATTTTATTGTAAATATTATTAAAAATTGTATTATATTGTTAAAAGAAACAGCTATTCTGAAATATAGAGCTTACATTTATTTATTACCCATAAGTTAATGCATTTAAATATTACGAAACATAGAATAACAATTGATGCTCATCTTTGAAATTTTTCATATTATCATATTCTGACATGTACTCAGCAAATTCGTTTTGCTCTTCTTTCTGTTTGTGTTCTATTTTTCTCTTCTTTAAAAATGTATCACGTAAATGACGTTTAAATGGTGTAACCTATTAAGAAAATAAAAAGTGCCAATATAGATAGTATATATTTTTACATATTAGCTTGAAAAAAAAGTCAATTGTACTCGATTCTAAAAGGTATTTTATTTTTTAAATTGAATCTATGTTTACTTTATGTAAAACAAAAAAAATGAAGAGTAATCCAAATATTAATATAGTGGCGATTATACTCTTACGAACTAAAGAATTTCCACTTTCTGGAAGAATTCTTTCTTGCAATACGATATTAGCGGGAGTTTCCTCCTGTAGTGAATTATACACGGGTGTTCCTATGCCTTCATCACATTCAAACATAGGTAACCTCTCAATCCTAGTAGCCTGATAATATTCATTTAATTCTTTGCATAAATTATCATGGTAGATCGTATCGCATTTTGTTCTAATATTGTATAAATCAATAACTTCATTAAGACATTTCGATAATCCATAAGAGCAGAATATGTTATATATAGGAGCACTAGTTGTGCTAACAGCACAATTCAATAAATAGTAAAGCAACAACCTTACTTTTTTTATTTCTTCTAAATCTTTAATATTAAATTTGCAAGGGAAAATACCATCTAAGTATAGCCTTCCTTTTAGATCAAATAGTTTCATTAGTTCTGTATCATCAAGTTCATAGTTTATTATTTGATCGTAAAACCAATATTTGAAATATATACAATATTTAGGTGATTCTATTTCTTCTATTGTAAATATATTTTGAGATGGTGAGAATTTTGTTTTAATAGCATAAATTTTGTAATATGTGTCACTAACTTTATTACTAATACTTTCTGAATTTTCCACTGGAGAGCAGAAATGCAACGTACCCACATCATTATAACATCCTTTCTCAAATTTTTTATAAAACTTCTTTAGATCTATATTTTCCATTAATTCGTACTAAATATAGAATAAAATATTAAAAGTATATTTATAAAAATATATAGTTTAAAAAAAAAAAAAAAAAAAACTATATTTTATTGTGCTATTAATATGTAAAAAAATTAAAAAATAGTCTTATTATAATAAAAATTTGGGTAAATTTATATATCATATCAATGATTTAAATGTAGCGGAGCTTTTGCATTCTAAATCACCCATTATTTATTTAAATATATATCCTTGTAAATGAATATATATATTTATATATAAAAAGAGAACATTATAATTTAGATATTATGTATAATTTTTTTATATTATAGTAGTATACTAAGAAAAAAGTTTTTAAATAAATTGTTATCCTTTTATAATTTACTATTGTTATAAGACAGTGGTATAAATTATTTATATATTCTTAAAAAAGTTAATGATAAAAAGTACATTAGAAATATTATATCATATATATTATGATATTATATCGAAAAATATATTTAAAAAAAATTTACAAACACGAACAATTACTACTACATAATAATCAGAATTAATATATATAATGTACAATTTTCATTGTAACAGGCTTCAAAGTATAGTGTTATAAAATTCATTTTTTACATATGTTTTCTTTAAGATTCTGGTCTAGATCAAAACTTTCTAATTTAAACTTTGTTTATAGTTCAATAATCCCATGTTAATGGATTATAACAATTGCTCTGTATGTTTTTACTAGTATTTGTTCATTGAAGAAATGACTTATTCAATTTGTACCTATTTTATTTAAGACTAAAGAATTAAATTCATAAATGACTATGCGTCGTAGGAAATTTAATGTGAGTATACAATTCAATATAATTAAATATTATAAGTGTACATATATAAATATATATTTTTATTATTAACATATATCCACAGATTACCTTATGATATATACATATTAACAGGATCTTAGGTAACAAGAATTAATTATGTATATAAATATAGGATCAGTGCTATAATAAAAAATTATATATGTTATACTTATTCAATTTCATAATTAAATTGTATTTTTTTTTGTGAATTCATATATTAAGTGGAATGATTAATAAAACTATATACTAAAACGTGAAAAACCTGAATTTTTAGATATAATGGATTTATTGCCGTTTTAATATGTAGTTATTCATGGTAAAATTTACTTCACTACTATTGGCATATTAATTTATTCTATGTATTAAGTAAATTAAATTAATAATCCTCAATATAGTATATAATATGATTCCGAATATTAAATAATCAGTTTCTTAAATATATAATACACTACACAAAAATATAAAAATGAATTTATAAATTTATTAATTAATATTTCTTTAAATAACATAATGAATATATTGTTTGTAATTCCTATTCTTTGTTTTGATTAATTTTCATATTAAAATGCAGTGTATGTAAACTATTAATATATGTATCAATTATGTCATCTTGTTAACAGTTTATACTGTGAGATATGTCCTAGCTTGTAAATAAAAAATACTTTTATAAATAGGAATTACAAAATTTTTTAATTTAAAAAAAGACATACAATTTTGTTAAAATTATTATAAAATATTGGTAGAATTCTCTATATACATAGTAATAAATAGAAGTAAAAGTTTTTTAAAATTAATTTCTCAACAAGAAAGGGAACGATATATTTACAGTTACAAAAAAGGTTTTAAGTATCATTCCATTGTGTGATTTATTATTATACTATTGTGACTATTTATAAAAAAAATAATAATAATAACAAATTATATGTTAATTTAATATCTTTTTTATAATTTTTGCTACTCCTAATAGATAACACTAAATGTTTTATTAAGGAATCAAATTAAAATGATAATGCATATGAACATATTATACAATTAAATAATAAGTTTTCATTTATTATTTGTAACAATTATAATGTTTATAAAGCAGTTATAAATCAATTATGTATAATATATTTTTATTATTAACTTAAATATTTAAAATGAAATTTCAGTTTATGTGTCCAGTTTATGACTCAGAATTATGGGAAAATGATTAGGATTGTCCTTTTCATTTTAAAGTTTATATTGCAATGTTACTCGTCTAATTTATTTTATATATTTCATGGATATGAATGACTATATTTTTACATATTATAATTCATGCTTATGTTCATAGTGTTTTTTTTAATATTTATATAATTATTTTCATTTTTTTTTTTTTTTACTTAATCAACTTTATTTGCCAATTTGCTGTTTTTATGTTCTATGAAGTTTCTATTATATTCATATAACATTTGAATCAAATCATAATCATATTTTTATGTCCTAAAACTATTAAGGTAATTGTATTAATCTTTGCCATATGACCTTATAATTTTTATGAATTATCTATTTTTCTTTTGGCGTGCATAAAATAATAAACATCCTTTTGTGTATATGCATATTGCTTATTGACGGTTATATTATATATATCAAATATATAAATAAAAAACAAAAAATACTTGTTTATTATATACCATACTCTCTCACAGGTTATATCTCTATTATGCTATTATTCTTTATAAAATATAACATAATGATTAAAAGTAAATATAATAATATATTCATAAAATTAATTTTTTCCAATATTTCAATTTGTCATTTATTATTATATATCCTTTACAATGATATTATCTTATTTTATATATATATATAATTATTTTAAAAAGCATATTCCTTCAATTTAATATAATTACATTTTTTTACTTACATAACTATGATGTTCATTTAACATGTGTACATAAGATTCTTTGTTCTCTTATTCTATTTGATTTTTTTCAGAATATAATTTTGCATTAATTTTTAATAAATTATCGCATTACTTTTAATAATAAGAGTTATCATATATATAATATTATAGTTTTTATTCATGTAAATGTTGAGGATCATATTTCTTCCTATATTATTCAATATTAATATAAATTCCACATAATTTTTTATAAGGATTGTTGTATTTGCGGTGAAGAATTATATAATAATTATTTTTACATGTTAATCTTAAACATTGCATTGTTTCATACAATGGCATATTGCGCTGAAAATATATGTAAGCTCAGGTTTAATATTTATATTAAACAAGAGAATTTGAAATTAAAAGAATAATATAAGTGGTTAAAGTGCTAATTAAGTTTCAGTAGATACATGGATAATTATCAATTTATAATGATGATGAAGTGTAATTTATGTAAAACTATTTCTTATATTATGTATAACTAAAATATACTTTTAGATAATAACTTTATTATAAGCTTTTATCTCCTTAATTATAGAAAGAAATATCATATATAAATATACGAATCACATAATAATAATACTATTATTGTTAACTAAAGTGATTTTATTATTTAAAATATAACTGAATAGCTTTAAAAAATAATTCTTATACCTTGATGAAAGCTCTTCATGTTATTAACCTTACAGGATATAATAAATAACAAAGAGAATGATTATAATAAAAAAGATTATTCTACAGAATTTGAAGATACATTAAATAGCCTAGAATTTTTGTACTATAAAAGTTTAGCTCTGGAGTTTTATATATAAACTAAATAAAAATCCACGTAATCATTCTATTCACCAAAAATGGTACTTAATTATTGTGGAGACTCTGTTGATGCTTTGTTATAATAAATTGGAATATATAATTATGAGAAATAAATATACACATTAAGCTTTGTTTAAAATGTATTTTTATATAATATTAATAATGTACATCTAGTATACTTATATGTTGTAATATTTTTTATATATTATATTTTCACCTTCATGATCTTGAATAAATTCACAAAATAAAAAAAATAAGAATATAAACAGAATTTCTTTATATAAAGATGCGACGAAATGATCACCTATGATCAATTTCATACACATCATGAATGGTAATTCAAGTTTTGAATATAAGTTAGGATACAGTATTCCAACATATTATTAATTCATGTATAATATGAATGGAGATAGAAGTAATATAATTAACACAAAGATATGTATTAAACAGTACATCATGCAAAATGAATATATTTGTAATAGTTTTTTTTTAAAAATACATATAACTACACATTTTTTTATAGAAACATATTGACCTAGACATGTACCACATAAAAGAATTAAATTTACGGAAATGTCATGTATTTTTTTGGTATTATTATCTGATTTTGACAGACAAGAATAATCCATTTAACATTAATTAACAGTAGAAACAATAAATATGTTTAAATAAAATGACAATATATTACTAAAACAAAGTATCTTTTAAAAAAAACATATGATTCATTAATAATTTTATTCTTTAATTTATTATTATTGTCTAAGTGGCTACAATATCAAATAAGGCTACGAAATTCATGTAAAAATATATATGGACAGTAAATAAAAATATATGTATTAAAACATTCGATTCATTAAATCAAATATATAAGCATAAAATTAAAAAATAATGATATATAGATATATATATTTTAGGATTTTTTCATATTTTTAACTCAAATATTTCCATATTGTTACATGAATAACCCGCGTATACAATATAGACTATTCTATAATAAATAAGCTCATATTTAATTGTATATATGATAAATTGAACAACAAAAAATGAATTTCTTATAGTAATCCTCAATTTCATGTTAAATGAATAAATTATATTAATATAATTATATTCAATTTATTTTCTTTTTAACGCATATTTAAGCTATAAATAAAAAAGTTCTATCATATTACCACTAGTTTTACATTTAACTATTTTAGTGTCATTTACTTACGTAACTTATTCTATCAAAAAATAATGTTTAATCAAAAAACTAAATTAAATTTCTTGAAATTTTCAATTTTTAATTTTAATTATAGTTTTAACAATTACTCATTAATAGGAAATTTGTGTAATTCAGAATATAAGAATTTATCTAACGAATCGTTTGCTTCTCTTACATATTTCTAAAAGGATCAACATAATAAATTTATATATTAATCTAGTTAGTCTTCATTATAATTAGAATA